GTTTGAGGTATCTCCAAATTCTTTTCCACAAAGGTTGCACTAATTTGCATTCCCACCAGCAGTGTAGGAGTGTTCCTGTCTCTCCACATCCTCGCCAGCATTTGTTGTTTTAGGATTTCTTGATACAGGCCATTCTTACTGGAGTTAGGTGGTATCTGATTGTGGTTTTGATTTGCATTTATCTAATAATTAGAGAAGTTGAGCATTTCTTTATATGTTTGCATGCCATTATTCTGTCTTCTTTGGAGAAGTTTCTTTTCATTTTTGTCTCCCATTTCTTGATGGCATTGTTTGATTTTTTCTTGTTAATGCTTTTAAGTTCTAGATAGATTCTTGTTATTAGACCTTTATCAGAGGTGTAGAGAGCAAATATTTTCTCCCACTCTGTGGGTTGTCTAGTTGCTCTGATGATGGTTTCCTTGGCTGTGCAGAAAGTTTTTAATTTGATCAGATCCCATTTGTTTATTTTTGATGCTGCAGTGATTGCCTTGAGGGTCTTCCTCAAAAATTCTTTACCTAGGCCAATGTCTGATAGGATTTTCCCAACATCTTCTTCTAGGATTCTTAAGGTTTCATGCCTTAAGTTTAAGTCTGTTATCCATCTCAATTGAATTTTTGTGAGAGGTGAGAGGTAGGGATCCTGATTTGCTCTTCTGCATGTAGCTAGCCTGTTTTCCCAGCACCATTTATTGAAGAGAGATTCTTTTCCCCAATGTATATTTTTGTCAGCTTTATCAAGGATTAGATTACCATATACTGATGGTTTCATCTCTGGTATCTCAGATCTATTCCAGATATCTATGCTTCTGTTCTCTATAAATTTGTTGAGATTTACTTTAAGGCTCAATATATATTTAACTTATATTTATAATTTTGTTTTGATCTTAGTCTCTTTTATTTAACATTAATATCATCAGGTTTGTTTTGGTTGGAATTTACTCTATATCATACCCAAATATCAAATTCTGTCCATTTTCATTCAACATTTCTTTTTTCTCATATATGTATATTTAAAATACATACAGTAACATGATTTTTGTTGTATAGTTTTATGAATTTTGACAAATGTATATAGTCTTGTAACCACTACCACATTCATGATAGAAAACAGTTTCATCACACCCTAATATTCCCTCATGCTGCTTTTTAATAAGTAACCCATCTCTACATTCCAAGAGCACTAATCTTTTTTACATATCTATAATTTTATATTTTCTAGAAAGTCATATATTAGTAAATGTAATCATACATTATATATCATTTTGAATGTGGGATCTTTCACTTATCATAATCCATTTGATATGCATCTGTATGGTTGCGTGTATTAATAGATTATTTCCGTTTATTTCTGAGTAATATTCATTGTAAGAATATACCACAGTTCTCTTATCTAGTCACCTATTGTTAAATATTTGGTTTGTTTACAGTTTTTTTTTTTTTTTTTTTGAGACAGAGTCTCGCTTTGTTGCCCAGGCTAGAGTGAGTGCCATGGCGTCAGCCTAGCTCATAGCAACCTCAAACTCCTGGCTCAAGCAATCCTCCTGCCTCAGCCTCCCGAGTAGCTGGGACTACAGGCATTCGCCACCATGCCTGGCTAATTTTTTGTATATATATTAGTTGGCCAATTAATTTCTTTCTATTTTATAGTAGAGACGGGGTCTCGCTCTTGCTCAGGCTGGTTTCGAACTCCTGACCTCGAGCAATCCGCCCGCCTCAGCCTCCCAGAGAGCTAGGATTACAGGCGTGAGCCACCGCGCCCGGCCTGTTTACAGTTTTTGATAATTATATATAAATCTACCATAATCTTTTACTTATGGTTTTGAGTGACCCTAAATTTTCATTATTTTGTGCAATGTCTAGTTTGAGATTGTTTTTTTATCTGGTAAGTATATGTTTAACTTCATAAGAAACTGCCAAAGTCTTTCTAAAGTGGTTGCACAATTATGCATTTTCATTCACAATGTAGAAGTTCATAAGATTTTATGCATTCTTCTCATCATTTGGCATCTACAATTTTTTTTAGAAAAGTGAATTTTTAAAATTTTATAATGATTTTCTATTTATAGGAAAGTTGCATACATGGTACAAAGAGTTTTTATAAACCTCATATTCAGATTCCTCTATTGTTAAAATCTTACATTATCATGGTACATATGTCAAAAGTAAGAAACTGATATTAGTACATTTCTATTAACTAACTTTATTTGGATTTCACTAGTTTGTACGTTTCTGTGTTCTTTCTATTCCAGGATCCAGTGCAAGGCATTGATATAGAATATAAAAAATTGTACACCTATCAAAGACACTTACCATGAATGAAGCTTGGACAACTAGAAGTTGCACTGGGTGAGTCAGTGAGTAAGTGGTGAGAGAATGTGAAGTCTTAGGACATTATTGCACACTACTGTAGATTTGCAAACACTACAGCTATTCAAATTATTAAATGGCCATACATTTCTGTGGTTGCAGCTTTCTGAAATTTTTTTGTCTTGGTTTTAAAAAGTACTGGGCTATACTGAAAACACCTGTGAATTATGTATGATAATATTTGGGAGAGCTATATCTAAATATAACGTGAATATAGTTTTAACTACAATGCACTGCATTTCAACCGAGTATGTGTGTTTTATGAATTGGTCCTTAGTAGCCATGATTGGATCATAGAAATAATTTTACATATCACTTCTGGTCTGGGGTTATAAAATGGCATGGTTTCACTAGTGATTCTTGTTATATATTTAATTACATTTTCTGACAACATAAGCTAGTTTTGTGGATTTAAGGTGGTTTAAAATTTAGGTAATGGATATACACATATATCAAATTACCTCTAAAATTGGTGGTTTGGGCATCATCCTGAGATAAAGGAATCTCTTAGCGGAATCACTGAAGGCAATATTTTAATTAGAAACCCCACTGAAATAGTATGTGGACTTTCATATACTAGGTACCTTAAACCTTTTAATTTCTGGGATTCTTCTCTAAATTTAAATGGGGGAGGTCAGTGGTTGTTGGAATATATTTGTCTTTTTCAACAGTGGATGCTGTGTTATGATTGTATTGACAAAGAATATTATCCAGACTAGCATGTTTTGAGACAATTCTAATTTCAGAGTACTAAATGTCAATTTTGAATATGGCATATTAAAATTAGGGAAATAATGTAGTAAATCAAATAACATAAAAGGGGACATATGCATATCTCAGAAAGAGACTTAAATTTTTATTTAAAGTGTTCATATTAGAATAAAAACCACTTAGTAAAGTTAAATTAGAACTCAGTACATCAACATGTAGCTCTCTTGTCAGTAAAATGATCTAAGCTGTCTCCATTCTGTTTTGTAGTCCTTAAAACAAAGCTAATGTACACTTTAGCCAGGTAATATAAAACTTGAAGAAAAAAGTGTCCAGGTGAAAAAGTGAAAAACATGAGAAAATACAGAAACAAGCCCCTTTTTAAATAGGGGAATAAAAAATTGTGAAAGACAAATGTAATTGGTGGGAAAATGTTGCATCATATTTACCTGAATGAAAATACTGTGATGATATAGGGAATTCCATTAGGTTAAGTAAAAGTTTATACACTATATTTGTATATTATGTAAAATAAACAGAAATGTAAAAGGTATCCTCATATGTTTATACATTTGGAAATATTTTTTGAATTAATATATAGAAATAAAAGGATAAACAAGCAAAGACTGAATGTGGTTTATGAGGTAAAGAAATAAAACTAATGAAAACTGAAAAAAAAAGAAATATACTGAATTAGTGAGACTAGGTGAATATAACTTGGTAAAAAAAAAGTCTCAATCTTGGTTACCAAGATTTATGAAGATACAGGCAACATAAACAGGAAGATACTGCATAGATTTTGCATTGTGGGGACCCAGAAAGTGAGGTAAAAACCTTTGTGGAAAAATCAGTAGGAATCTGAATAAGTAGAGCAGAGGTCTTAGTTTAAAAAGAGACTATGAATACTACTCTTGGTTACTTTGTTTCCTGGGATTCTTCCTCATGCTGTACCATTATAATCTTATTATAAGCTCATTTATGTAATTCAATTTAAAATTGTCCAGCATTTATATGTGTTCATTTTCAGGAGTAGGAGGAAGACTTTTTACATAAGGCTTTTCTGCCATATTATTGAGGGTTTTTTAATTTAAAAGTTTGTGAAAGGTTTTTTGTTTTTTTTTTTAAATAAGCTAAATGGGAAAATACAATGATATATGTTGTAATAGAAGTGGAGAATCTAATGTCCCATGAGTTTTTGATATATCTCATGCTCATAATTTGAAGTTATGTCTTCTGTAAAATTAGGTTATTTTGCATGTGTTTCTTCCTTAACAGTAATTGTGTTATATCATTTTGGTGACTGTGCAATTTCCACAGAGGATATGGTACCTACATGGCATAGTTTAGTCTTTGTAAAATTTTATTAGCATTATAATGGAAAAATCACATGCTAATAAAGTAAAAAGTATTTAGTGATAGTGTCACAAAATGCAGTAGCTTGGTCTTCCCAAGAGAAAGAAGCACCATAGAATTCGGGAAGACATTGTATTAATTATATGGGTGGAAAGGATTCAGTTTTGTAAGCCGAAGAATATTTTTTCCTACCTTCTATTTTGTTACTTTTCTCTCTTATGTGAATGTGAGCTATGTTAACCTATTCCCTTTATTTGTTGGGATAATTATGGGCAGGCAACTATGAAATAAGAGGCTGAAGAGTTCACTGTTTAGAGGGGCTTTTACAAAAAGGCTTGGTTTTCTAAGCCTGCTACTGCAATAGCCAATAGCCCTTTCTTTTTTTTTTTTTTTTTTAATTGAAAGTGCTTTATAAACCAACATTTGTATGAATGCCCTAAAATACCGTGTTCAGAAAAATAGACAAAGTACATGAGCAATTTATTAAAAACTGAGAAATACAAAAACAGGGATAATTGTTAATTATTCATGGAAAAAAACCTATTTTCTTTGATACTTTACCCTAATTAACCTTTTTTTTTTTTCCATTTCAGGTTTCTCAAACCACTTCTTATGAACTGGTGAATATTCAAGAAACAACTAAATTTGAAGCCTGTACAAAAGCTTAGCCTTATAACAATACATGTGCCATAATATGCAAACTTCTACTTTTGTCAGTACTTAACATCTACCTCTCTGAATTTTCATGAACTTCTATTTCACAAGGGTAATTGTTTTATATACACTGGTGGCTGCATACAATAAAATACTTAGCATAAAAGTGTTTTACTTCCTTATTGGCTTAAATACACTTATGTATTAGTCTATTTGAACACCTGAACAGGTTGGTTTTTGAGTTTGTTCCACTAACTCTTCTCATGTGACTTTACTGCCATACATTTGCAGGACTGCTAGGGAATTAAAGATAAGTTGTAAACTTTTACTCTTTTAAGGTCAAGAGGAGACTGTTAAGTTCTATAGTTTCTATCTGTGAGTCATTTACAGGGTTAACTTTGTTTTAATAAATATTTCAAACTCCTTTGGATAGGGGCATTACCAGTTACCCCTAAAAGTCAGTTATTTCCTAATACATGGCTCTCCTAACAAAGATGGTAGTAGAGAAAAGACTGCAATTAAGAATTCCATTGGAAGATACAAGAAAAACTTCAGAACTTGAGACAATGCCTGAATTGAAGCACTATGTAGTGAGGTACAGAGGAGCCAAAAAAACCCACCAGGAACTAAATATTAGCTTCAGTAATTTGCAACTTTTTTCAAGTCCTGGTAATACATTTTGCTTAAAATTTTTTTTACCCTTCTGAAAGGATTAAGGGAATATTAAAACATCCCAGAAACCTGGCCTCCAATTTAAGACTATGTGCCAGGCACTAGGTATCTAAGATTAATCTGGTATAAAGGGTTACCTGGTATTTACCAAGCATTTTATTTCTCTCCAGCCCACATGGTCTATGAAAATGCAAATGGAAAAGTTAATCTGAATCTTGATTCCAACTTAAATTATTCACAATTACCAAAATATAACAGAATTAAGTTTTAGGAAACCTAAACTGTCACCTAAATGACTTTTATTTATATTTGCTACATAAACATACCAACATTTGGCAATTTGTCCAGACATGAAAGGTTTATGAAATCAGTAAATTTTGAAAAGGCTGCTCTGTTAAAAATAATTTAGAAAGTTCTGTTCAGCAAAATCTAATACTATTCCCTCAGCACTTTATAAATGGAATTTTCTTCTACTTGTATCCATTTCCCGGGGCTTATGGACCCATTCATACTCTCCGTACTTAGAATCAAAGGTTCCTTTCTGAAGAGATCTTAATTTTAAGGTAAATCGTGGTCCAAGTTCCTGAATTCCCACTTTCTTTTCACTCTTGAATATGTATCTATGAAATCTAAAGAAGATATAATCTCGCTGATTATGGAATGTGGCAACCTGCCTTCCAATAAATTGAGGATTATGAGGAAAGAGAGATGCAACCATACGTCCAATTGAGTGACCCAGCCGTGTTGTAAAATTATTCAGAATTACTTCAGGTATGTGTTCTGTGGGGTCCTTACCTCTTCTCTTAATTTCTTTACGAAGACGAACACTGCTCATTTTAAAATGAGCGGTTGGACCATTTGGCAAGTGACTCAAAATAAGTCCATTGGGAGTTTTACGATCTTCATTAATAACAATCAGGTCTGTGAAATCTCTTGAGATGCACTGTGGAATAATTTTTTTCAGAGCCAGTCCTCTTCTGTAATAAACATGTGAGTTTGGTATAACTGTGGAGAGCTGTTCACAGAGTCTTACTGTTCTCCCATGAGGCCTATCTGATGTTGTGATGAGAATCTTGGGAGAAGTCTGCCTGTTGAAGTAAGAAGCAAATTCATCTGTAGCTTCATCATAAGCAACCTCTTCATCATTAGGGTCTACTATGGTTTCATCATACACTCGTTGGTTATCAATGGTCTTGGGTATAGGCTTTGGTGGAGCCTTATCACCAAGAGCCTCTCTCTCTTTTTTAAGTCTTTTCTTGGCTGCCAACTTTTCCTTCCTCTGCTGCTGTTTCCATCGCGTGAACATTAAGTGTCGCCGCTGTTTGTTCTTAATCTCCGAAATGCTGAAGCCTGGGGGAAAGGCAGCCATTTTCGGGGGTTGGACCCCGCTTTCTGTCGTCTCATGCTCAGCCACTGCAGCTTCCTGAAGTTCTCCGCTAGCGGCTTTCCGTTTCAGGCTTTTCTTCCCGCTGCCGCCGATCTTCTCCCCGGACTTCGCCATGGTGTTGGCTCCTTGCGTCTCGCCAATAGCCCTTTCTGACTGTTTTGCTGTTATTAAAGGTAGGTGAGTTTACCCAAAATTTGGTACAATATGGAATTGGACAAGTGTCTTGACTGATTTCATAGGACAGGTGAAACTGAAAAGAGAGGTTGTATTATTCAGATTAGACTGTGACTAATTGCTCACAATTGTCACTTGCTTAACCATTGACTTAACCAAACTTTAGTCAGGCTTCTCTTTGCCACACAGGACCCTGAACTTTCACTTTCCCCTGCTTAAGCAAGCACTAAGATACAGGAATCCTCCTTTAAGGCTCATTCCAGTAATGGGCTGATTGGAGAAAATTTTTTTTGGCCAAGTATTCAGATTTTGCCACTTTTCACCCATGCAACTTGCTTCCCTTCCCCACAAAGTTCCTGCTAGCCCTTTACCCCTCCCTAGAGGAGAAAAGCCTTTTGCAGTTTGATTTTGAGGTACTTGGACATACTGAGGTCAGATTGCTCTCTGTATAGCAATAGTCTTTTTGAATACAGTCTCTCCTTTACTTAAATCCAGATTTGTTATTTGACAGCTGTTACAAACAACCGCTAAATCTCAATGGCTTAATACAGAAAGGTTATTTTTTTCTCACATGTAATAGTCTAATGATCTATTTCATGTAGTCTTTTGAGGACATAGATGCTTTCAATCTATTTGTTTCAATGGTTTTTGGGCTTTGAAGTCCTTCAATGGATTATTTATATTTGGCCAAGAGATAAGGAAAGAGAATATGGAGGATTACAAAAGAAGTTTTATTGGTCAGGCCTACAAGTGACACATTGCATATATATACACATATTCAATTGGCCACAACTTAACCTCCTAACTGAAAAAGCCCCAAGAAAAGTTGTCCAGAAGCAGTTTTAACTAGAAGAAGAGACCATGGTTATTACTGAGGACTAGGATTTTCTGTCATATTTTATGTCTCTTTCAAACTAAAGATGACTTTAATAGTCTAAAATGGTAAATGAAATCCAAAAAATAATAATAATGGAAGATAAAATATAAAATATTAGGGTTCTAAAATTTAGCTACACAGTGTCAGATCAAAAGGCAGTTACAATAAAGAGGATTTTAATTTGGTAGAACTCTGTAGTGTAGCCATCTGCCCCAGGACTTTTCCGTTTGGGGAGAGTTTTAATTACTGCTTCAATTTCTGAGCTTGAGATTGGTCTATTCAGGAATTCTGTTACCTCCTGGGTCAACTTAGGGAAGTTGTATGAATCCAGGAATTTGTCCATTTCATCTTCATTCTGTAGTTTTGGGTCATATAGTTTTTAATAGTAGTCTAATATAATGTTCTGTATTTATGTGGTATCTGTTGTGATCTCTCCTTTTTCATTTCTTATTGAGTTTATTAGAGTCCTTTCCCTTTGAGTCCTTGTCAATCTAGCAAGAGGATCATCAATTTTGTTTATCTCTTCGAAAAACCAGCTTCTGGTTTTGCTGATCTTTAGTATAGTTTTCTTGTTCTCCCTTTCATTAAGTTCTGCTTTGATCTTCGTTATTTCTTTTCTTCTACTATGATTGGGCATTATTTGCTCTTCTTTATCCAATTCTTTGAGCCTATTAATTAGGTTGTTAGTATCTAATCTTTCTGTTTTTTTGGATGTGACCATTGATTGCTATTAGTTTTCCTCTCAGGTAAGCTTTTGCTGTATCCCACAGGTTTTGGTAACACGTACCACCGTTATCATTTTGTTCAAAGAAACTCTTGATTTCCCTCTGAATTTCTTCCTTGACCCAATAATTTTTCAATAAGAGATTGTTTAGTTTCCATGATTTTATGAGGTGTTGAATGATACTATTGGAGTTGAACTATAATTTTATACTACTATGGTCAGAAAAGATACCACATATAATTTCTATTTTCTTGAATATTTTGAGATCTGATTTGCAGCCTAGGATGTGATAAATTTTGGAGAAGGATCCATGGGCTTCTGAGAAGAATGTAAATTCAACTTTATTTGGATGGAATACTCTATAGAGATCTGTCAAACCTTTTTGATCAAGGATATGTTCAGGTCCATTATTTATTTGCTTATTTTCTCTTTGGATGATCTATCCAGATCATTCAGTGGAGTGTTGAAGTTTCCTGCTACTATGGCAGTGTTGTGTAACATGGTGTTTAGATTAGACAAGATTTGCTTTATGTAATTGGGTGCTCCTGTATTGGGTGCATAGATATTAAGAATTGTTAAATCTTCTTGTTGGGTCTTCCCTTTCACCATTATAAAATGGCCGTCTTTATCCTTTTTCACTTTTGCTATTTTAAAGCTTATGTTATCTGCAAATAGTATAGCTACCCCAGCTTTCTTTTGACTTCCGTTTGACTGGATGATAGTTTTCCATTTGGATATACTTCAAACAGCTAGATATAGAAATACCATTCAACCCTGCAATAGCATTGTTTGGCATCTACCCAAAAGAGCATAAGATATTCTATTATAAAGACATCTGTACCGGAATGTTTATCACAGCACAATTCACCATTGCAAGGTCATGGAAACAACCCAAATGCCTGTCAGTTCAGGAGTGTATAATTAAAATTTCGTATATGCTCACAATAGAATATTACTCAATTTTAAGAAATGACAATGAGCTAGCACCATTTATGCTATCCTGGATCAAGATTAAGCCTGTTATCCAAAGTGAGGTGACACAAGACCAGGAAAATGGGCTCTATATCTACTCACCATCAAATTGGTACTGACTGATTAAAACTATGGTGCTCAAATGGTGGTAGTACTCACCAGGGATTCGAGGAGGGGAAGACCCACATCCTAGGGATGTGGTGAGCATTGTGGGGGGAAGGGAATGCCCCTAACCCTTCTTAGGGAGAGGCAAAGATATACAAGGTAACCAAAATGCCAAAAAAAAAAAAAAAGAAGAAAAACACTTTTATCGGATGGTTGGCAGGAGGGGGAGGAGGGGAAGGGTTTATACTTAAATACTGGGTGTGGTGTGCACCACCTGGGGGTTGGACACGCTTGAAGCTCTGGCACGGTTGGGGAAGAGGTGGCAGGGGCAACCTGTAACCCTAACAATATCTGTACCCCCATAATATAATAAATAAAAGAAAAAAACACAGGACTTTAATTAGTGCAATAACAGGATGAAATCACTAGGCCAATAGCTTGTATCATGGGTATCATGTCAACATATGCCTAAGAGAAAGAATAATGATTCAAGTACTATTGCACTTCCCTTTACACGAACAAAGTAAAAATATCCTAGCAGTGACAGGGGATAACAATTTCTTTTAGTAGCAATCAGAGGAAACTAATTTTGGTGTTTTAGCAAAATGTCAATTACACTGAAAGGTACTGTTGTGTCTCACAGTTTTGAAGAAAGATTTTAATAGCCAAGACTCAGGAAAGCCAAATATGACAAACCCACAGCCAACATCATACTGAATAGGGAAAAATTAAAACCATTCCCACTTAGAACTGGAACAAGGCAAGATTGCCCACTATCTCTACTTCTATTCAACATGATGCTGGAAGTCCTTGCTATAGCAATCAGACAAGAGAGTGGAATTAAGGGCATCCAAATAGGGGCAGAAGAGAGCAAACTCTCACTCTTTGCTGATAATATGATATTATACCTAGAAAACCCCAAAGATTCAACCAAGAGATTCCTTGAATTGATAAATGAATTCGGTAAAGTCTCAGGATACAAAATCAATACACACAAATCTGAGGCAATCATATATATGGACAACAGTCAAAGTGAGAACCAAGTCAAAGACTCAATTCCCTTCAAAACAGCAACAAAGAAAATAAAGTACCTAGGAATATATTTAACCAAGGAGGTAAAAGACCTCTACAGGGAGAACTATGAAACACTGACAAGGAAATAGCAGAGGATGTAAACAAGTGGAAGACCATACCGTGCTCGTGGGTCAGCAGAATCAACATTGTTAAAATGTCTAAACTACCCAAGTGATCTACAGATTCAATGCAATCCCTATTAAAATACCATCATCATTTTTCATAGATATAGAAAAAATAATTTTATTCTTTGTATGGAACCAGAGAAGAACCCATATAGCAAAAGTAATCCTAGGCAAAAAAAAAAGAAAAGAAAAAAAGAAAAAAAAAATCAATGAGACTTCAAACTATACTATAAGGCTATAGTAAATTAAAACACCTTGGGACTGGCACAAGAACAGGGACATTGACCAGTGGAACAGAACACAGAACACAGATATAAAACCATCCTCATATAGCCAACTAATCTTTGACAAAGCAGACAAAAACATACACTGGGGAAAAAGAATCCTTATTCAATTAAATGGTGCTGGGAAAACTGGATAGCCACATGTAGGAGACTGAAACAGGACCCACACCTTTCATCTGTCACAAAAATCAACTCATGCTGGATAACAGACTTGAACCTTAGGTGTGAAACTTAGAATGATGGAGGAAAACGTTGGAAATACTCTCCTAGACATTGGCCTGGGCAAAGAATTTATGAAGAAGACCCCAAAGGCAATCACAGCAGCAACAAAAATAAATAAATGGGACATGATCAAATTAAAAAGCTTCTGCACAGCCAAAGAAACAGTCAAGAGAGCAAACAGACAACCCACAGATTGGGAGAAAATTTTTGCAAGCTATACATCTGATAAAGGGCTGATAACTAGAATCTTTAGATCTGAGGAAAAGCATTAAGGAAAAAACAAACAACCCTATCAAAAAATGGGCAAAGGTCATGAACACAAACTTTCCAAAAGAAGACAGAATAATGGCCAACAAGCATATGAAAAAATGCTCAACATCTCTAATCATCAGGGAAATGTATATAAAAACCACAATGAGATATCACTTATCTCCAGTGAGAATGGCCCTTATTAATAAGTTCGAAAACAGTAAATGTTGGTATGGATGTGGAGAGAGAGGAACACTCCTACATTGCTCGTGGGACTGCAAACTAGTTCAGCCTATATAGAAAGCACTATGGAGATATCTTAAAGCAATA